AAAATGTTTGCTCATTTTTGGCCCACTTAAAAGTATTTCAGACGAGTAGAAACCTATGAATTAGAACGAAAATTTTCTGCGCTTTCTGAATATGAGTTTAGAAATTGCGTGTCAGATTTTGTTCAAGAGTAATGAGGGAATCTTTGAAAGGCCTGAAAAATTAGTTTGGATAAAAAATTTTTTCGCATTTTTTTATATTTTAACTATTGTGATTCGAGACTTAAAGTCGGAATCTTTATTACTCTATCAGCTAGTAGAGAAAAATCTGCCCTACAACATGTACTATTTGAGGTTTTCGTGATCGTTAGGCAAGACACTTCAGTTTTTGTTTTTCCTACAGCCTCATATTTGAAAAATCAACTTTTTCATAAAAAGACGTTTTACATGAACAGGACCTTCTGACATAGTGCATATAATTTCACTTGTGTGAAGGCTACAACTTAATTCATTATTACATTTTCTAAAGAAGTGTCCGCTCTACAAAAGTACAGTGTCCGATAATTTTTAACATCTTCGCAAAGGGGCATATATGGGTTAGGAAAAACCTGTTTATGTGTCATCCAAATTAGTTTGTAAGGCGTTCAAAGATTCCTTCAGTGTTCTTGAATAAAAGCATACACAAAATTGCTAAGCCCATATTCAGAAAGAGCACAAAATTTTCGTTCTAACCCAGAAGTTTCAACTCGTCTGAAATACTTTCAAGTGGGCCAAAAATGAGCAAACATTTTGTCTCAAAACTTTCGATTCAACCGTTAGCTTGAAACGCCATCGGGTGATTGTGTTTTATAGTAAAATATAATGAACGAATCTTTCGGAAGCTTCACACAGGAATTTTGTATAAACATCTACGCTACTCGGAGAGAACCAAACGCATTTTTTTTCTATTGAATATTTTTACTGTCTTCTTCCAATTTCCTTCTGAAAAAGTAACCTAGCGTCAAGGTTTTTCATTGTTGGAATACTGAACGCTTCATCTAAAAAAAGTCATCCAAAAAGGAAGATACGTAACCTTTGCAAGTCATGCAGCTATCCTAAGCTTTGTACATGTGAATAAATATTCACAGTGTTTTTTTATCCTATGTAAATCTCCAGCGCTGTTTTCGATAGAACCATAGATGAAGCCGGTATCGACTACTGATATCAATTGTAATTTAGATTTTTTTTCATCACTGTCATGATGAAAATTCTCATCTAATTGATTTCAGTCAGATTTTTTATCAATTTTTATACCTCTTTATTGAATTGTAAATGATAAGATGGAATACAACTACATGGAGATCTTTCTCATGCAAAAAATGACGAAAAAAAATCGATTCAAATCAGATTTTTCCTTTGTTTACATGGCGATTATCTGCACTTGCTCTATTCTACCTGTTAATCAATTTTTACTTTTTAATCGATTATAATCATGCTAATTGAAGATAGACGCTTTTCTCGATATTCGAAAGCAAAACCCCAATTTTTTATGACTTTTTCTGATTCTTCATGGTTAGAAATCACGAAGTTGTCACCAAACTAAACTTCCGCAATTAAAGTAAAGTTACAACCGGTATATAAATTTTCTTCAAATTGAGATGATGCAATAACATCAGAAATCGATTAAAAATAAAAGACAATTTAAATTACCTAGAGTATTTCAATCGATCGTATGCAGATTTTTACCTTTTCTATATAATATGTTTACATGTATGAAGTGCTTTTGTAATTGCTATCGTACCATATTGTACTGATATCATGTGTATCTTTTACTTTCGATAACAGTCAGTTTAACTTTATTACTACTTTTAGAAATTGATTAAACATGATTCAGGTTTTGAATGAACTGGCGATTGATTAGAACAAATCTTTACTGGATTATTTCGTCTAAATATTTTTTCGCACAAAGCACTTAGTGTTCATATTATTGTATATCGAGTTAGTTATAGAGATTTTGTCTTAATTGATATCACATAACATTTTTATCTATCGTAGTGCTTCTCTTTTTTTTGTGCTTGTCTTTTCGATTGAAAACTTGATGAAAATATTAAATTACAACTGATATAATCTGTAGTAATCGAATTCCATTCTGTTGTGGTGCAACAAGTGAATGGCTGCGGGAAAATTTGAGATTTATGCATTGATAATCAAAAAGAATCCTAATTTTCATAGGAATATTTTTCAAGTGATAGGACCGTCAGAATCTGCTTCTCTTGCTATTTTTATAATTTCATAGCCTATCTTAGACTAACCGAAGATAATGATCGGGGGAACGGGCGTTGATGCATCTTTTTGTCTTAATAGTAATAAAAAGCCCATACCAATCGAATACCAGTCGTCAAAAACTCGGACAGGTTTCATCTATTGCTAGAACAAGTAAAATAGCATGGCTTATACAAATGTTCAGATTTTATCTTCTTCTTCTTTCAAATTAGACCGGATTGAAGTGAATATGATCAATTAGGATGGCTCACCTGATGAAACGTGGGCACCAGAGAACAAAAATTAGCGTATGGAACAGCAATTTGTTGGCATGGACAGAAAAGTGAAGTTGGATATGCAGCTTGAAGCTGCTCGAATGTGACTAACGAAGGCAACGATATCGTATTGTAGACAAGTTCTTGATTCAGACCATTAAAAAGTACAAGCACGATCACGCTTCCAAAAAGCAGGATAAGGTAGATGGGGCTGGCCAGGAGAGCTACCCGTTTGGCATTCGCCGCTTGGCTAGTGGACATCTCTTTTCTGAAGAAATTCGTATTGGCCAAGTGTTGTTTTATTCTGGCTTTGAGGAAACCATGTTGTCGCAACGAACCTAAAAATTAAGAACACATAAGTAATTCTATCAAGAAGGTAACTCCAGGGTCAAAAGCAAGTGCTGACATTTGTAGAAATCGAACCAGTTTGGAAGGTAAAAAGAATCACGTTGCAAACTTTTTTGGAACAGGTGACCATCAGCTTTCTTGGTTTATCATAGATTGAATATAAGAGTGAATACAGTACGTAAATTCACACAAGATTTTATAATTACCTCAAATACAACTCTTCTATCTTAACTCGTGCTGGGAAATGTAAGTCATCTAATTCAAATAGATAAAAATTGTTTTTAGTTGTTAGTTTTACCAAGAATCGAACACGGTTATTTCGTTGTATTAATAGAAAATATACCTCTTTCATGGAATCTAGTCACTTGACTTAATTCTCCTAAAGCTTTTTTTTTGTAGAGAAAGTCCCAAATAGAGATGTCTACAGTTCAGTATTAATATTTTATTACAAAACGACAGTACATGTTACCTGTTTGTCTAACACGTTCTTGGTCATTCGCACATAAATACCTGTATCGCCAACGAGCAACAATCCAATTAACCAATCGCACAATTACCGGAGTAAGTAAACGTAGAACAATGACAAGACCACCAAAAAGACCTGCCATGGTCGCAATTACATAAAGAAGATCCATTCGTCGGATGATCGTGTAAGTACATGTTGCAGGAGCACAAGTGTTATAATAACCCTCAAAATTACTGTCTACTTTCCACTCCTCTACCATGAGTCGATTGAATATAGTATCAATCATGTCGGTTGGTAGAAATGATGATGATACAGAGCTATTGAGAGCGGTGATGGAGAGCGTCGCTTCTGGTAGTGGAAGTCGATTAGGCATGTCGACATTATATAGCGAAAGAAGAGTATTTAAACAAGTCTGGTCGAAGAAGCACCGCAAATCAGAAGCGAAAAGCGTTGCGAGAGTGGTGCATGACTTTACCAAACCAGGTATACTCCAAACGATACTACCACTCGTACAGTTGTTACCATAGTAGCATACAAACTGACCTCCTGACCAAGTAGGATCTGGACAGGCGAATGCTATACTACATGCACATTCGTTGAATAAAGCGGGAGCGGGTGAATCTCGGCGCACCAACGGCTTGTTGTTAACCTCCAACGTTTGAAAACGGATTCCACTCTCTACCCCACTCGCCGCCAAAGATCTGCGCACAAGAGATGTTAAAACTAAACTTTCTTGGATTGCCAATGACTGAAGCGCGACAATAATCGACGTTGTTCGAACTTCAAACTCGTTGCCTGAATAGGAAAAAAAACAGAAAAATGAAATTAAAGAACCACCATTGAAATCAAGCATTGATTTCCCATTTGCTGACAGAAATTATGCATTTCTCCAACACAAAGAGGTTGATCAATCTATCATGGTCTTTCCATAAAGTACCCTTATGAATATCAAACTCATGTTGTAGTCACTTAACCGGATCCTTGTAATTCTGATAGGATTATGCCGATATTCTGCAACAAAAATTCCGACAACTTTCGAGAAAATTCTGTAGGAAGTTATGGGACTGTTTTAGAAAACGGATTCGATCTGCAGTGATTTGACTATCGGGTTACTCGTTGTGGAAAGACAATGGCAAGGAAAAAGAGCTATCTGATTGGGCAAAAAATTAATATAAATTGACATATAAGTCAGCGCTTTCATTCTGAAATGATGTTAACAATGATTCTCTTTTGTTGTATTTTATATCTAATACCAGCAAGAAATCACCAAATCAAATTTTAGAAAACAACTAATATCGGTTTCAAAATAAAAAAAGGGTGAGTATTTTTAGAATAACTTTTGATAGGAACAAGATAGGGAGCTGCGGTTCTCACCGTTGGAAAGAGGCAATGAAACTGCATCGATTCGTATATTTCAGATTTTTTTCTGACAAGTGTTTTAAAGGTCTTCCCAAGAAGTTTTTTAAAAACTCAAAGATTTTAGACGAAGAAGGAATTGATTTTTTATTAAAAACTAAGGAAAAACAAAGATTTTTTCGTTACAAATTGGCCGACAACACACAGTAACGTGTTCATAAGTCATGATTAGCTAAAGATAATAACGTCGGGCTTGTATAGCTGATAGGTATTTAGTTAGTGATTCTAGTGCCCTCCTGAAAATTAAAAGTCCATAATATTTACATTATATAACGCTTTGTCTTTTGAAAACTTGTCGAGGAACCCTTAAAATACTTGTCAGAAAAAAAATCTGAAATATACGAATCAATGCAGTTTCATCGCCTCTTTCCAACGGTGAGAACCGCAGCTCCCTATCTTGTTCCTACCAAAAGTTATTCTAAAAATACTCATCCTTTTTTTATTTTGAAACCGATATTAGTTCGTGCTATAACAATAGTATATATGAACTGGAAGAAGTTTGTTGCATACGGGTCTTCGGTCTATCAAGAAAACGTTGTTATTAATTACGTAATGTGCCAAGAAATGGAAATCTTTTATTCATTTAATAAGCCCTTAATTGACGAGCAGTAAAAAAGCTTGAATGATATCTTCAATCGATTTTTATATTGGATCTTCCATCTAATATCTGTTTGCGATACCATTAAAAGCTTTGAAATTTAGATTCGATGTTGCTGCTACAATTTTATGAAAATCAGTTCGTAAGAAACATTGCATGACCTTTATGCTGGTCAAATCTAAATTCTTTATTTTAATGAGTTTGAGTAGGCACAAAAGTCAGCTAGTTACGGACATCTACACCATTAAACATTCAGTCCAGTAAAACAATGAAGAAAAATGTCGAAAATCACTATCGCATTGAAGCTTTCTTTTAGTATCCGTAAAGCGTCTATAGCAGTTTTTTTGAAAGAGGCAATCTTCATTTGTTCAAAGCGTTAAGTAAATTTTCACAAAAAAGAATTTCAAAGCAAAAAGTATCAAAAGGGTTTTCTTCCATATAAGCACACCGAGCCTTTTACTTTTTGATTTTCATCAGCTCGTGAAAAATTCTATTTGGCCGTGTTTTAGTTTTTTCTCCTATTTCATTTTTCAAGAATAATTCATTAACGTACTTGATATATGCTATTAATCTTTTTTTGGATCTTTGTGAAGATCAAATAAATTTATAAACATTTCTTTTACACTACCAAACGATTGATGTTTCTATGTAAATATGAATTTCTTTTTTTTCATCTGGTATTTTGTATACCTTTTGATAATATTATGGCACCATGGGAAGCATTCGTCATCGACATGTCCTTCTGAACTTCAGATTAGCCCGCAGTACTAGATCCCCTTTAGTGCTAATTCTGAATGAACTTCTTCTACTTGACACTATCTCATTTTGAAGATTTTATAACAATATGGAACAGTTAGGTGAAGACAGTTGATGAGTGAGGTTATCAGGGGTCATGCACTGTTCAAATGAGATTAATATAACCGTTGAAGCGTACTTGAATAAGACTTCCTAGTATTCATAAAAAATCTATATGATATCATGTTTAGGAAAGAAGTTTAACTATTGTTCTTTGGTTTGTCATTGACGGACATCTGTAGACTCAAACTTCTTAAGTGTTCAAATGAATTTTTTTCTTTTCTCCTCCTCCTCTTCTATATTTATCCTCGCTTCTCTAATACGTACTGATATACACTCATAAATGGACGTGAATCTAAGGTATGGGAAAAAAGTTCGCGACATTTTCTTATCGATATTAATAGAAAAATTTCTAAGAACTTTTTTTTCATATAATATACTAAAAGATGCAGCGTGAAAAGCTCTACAATTTGCAT